ACGGGCGGCTGCAACCACATCACGTGCAACTGCGGCCAGCACTGGTGCTACGTGTGCGCCGCTGGCTTCGACTCGGCCGACGACGTCTACGCACACCTCTACGCGACGCACCGGGGCATCTATGATTTTGACGACGAATAGTCCACAGAGTTGATATAGCCGTAAATGAAAAATGAGAAATATGAGTTTTCTTATTCAAGTACTGCATCGTGCAAATCGAGAAGGACGCGTCATTGCGGCCAACTCTTTAGTTCGATACAATTGTATGCCGACAAGCGTGCGCGTCGGCGCGGCCACGTACGTTTACCTGTATGCTGCGCACCGCGGCGCCGACTCGTAGACCAGTGCGAATTCGAAACATGTCGCATGCGTCCCTCGAGATGGAAGACGAGAGAAAGGCAGGCTCCCGGCTTGGCGACGGTCAGCGAGTGACCGTATTGCTGCGCGAGGCCGTGCGATTGATCGAGCGCCATCGCGCCGCGAGTCCCTGAACGCACGATGATCTTGTGTGCTGTCGAGGAAAGACCAATTCGATGTAATCGGATGCAAGGCTGCTCAGCGCTTGTGACCGCGGACCAAAAGCGGACGTCGGCGTTGTCGCTGCGCGCACCCATCCTCCCACGCTTCCGATGTGGGCCGGTCGTTGCATTGCTTGGATCGACGTCTCTTCACGTCTACTCCGCCTCGTCGAGCGACAATGCTTCTTATCGCGCCAGGCCCGTGGTTGACAAGCGAGGCGCGGTTACGCACAAGTTGCACTGGGACGTCGTTGCGTGCTGCGGATGTCCGTGCTGCAGTTACACGAACACACACTATTACATGTCTAATGGTTCAAATCCGCTGTATCGACGCAAATAGTGTATTGTGTATCGTCCCAGTGTAAAGTTGTCGATGTACATGCTATAATATCGCATTTTCCGCGCTACACCCAAGACGACGAGAAAGGCCACCGACGGTACATTGATGAAGCATATCTCTCCTCCTCCATCGCTCGCAGCAACGATTGCGATCGCCGCGATTACCTCTGCGTCCATGTCACCCACGTACGTGAAAGTCGACGGCCGGCACGGGCGCGGTGTCCGCTGGACGGCGCTGTGCATCCACTGCAAGGGCGCCCATCGGGCCCGCATCTGCAAGCGCCTCCAGAAGGATCTGGAAGCCAAGACGGCGGACAGCTGGCCGTTGCCACTGCCGACCTACGCAGAGTTGGCAACGTCGGAGAAGGCGCGGCTCGACGCGATGCCATGTGACTACTGCGGCGAGCCGGACCACCCCGTTGTTCGCTGTCGCGCCGTCGGCAAGGCGGTGAGCGCTCAAGCACTCCCAGCGACGTACCACGTGCCGGTCGGCCTTTGCTGCGAATACTGTGCACACTTTGGCGCGTACGAGCCGGGACACCCGATCACAGCGTGCCGGCTTCTTCTGGAGCACGCAGCAGAAGGCGTCGTCGCAGTGGACTTTGTTGCGCCGGAGCACCTGGTCATCAAGACTGCACAAGGTACCATAGACTCCAGTCGTCGGACGTACCTCATCACGCGTAGGCCCGCCGGTGTACCGGGTCTTCGAGAGCCGCCCGGACCACACCTGCGAGTACTGCAGCGTAGCCGGTCACCGGGCGTGCGTCTGCGATGAGCTGCGCCGGCACATCGGTGCACGCTGCGTGCGGGCGTCGTTTCGCCTCAAGACGCGGACCGGCGGGTGCGAGGCATGCGCCCGCCACTTGCTCGACTTCGCGTCGCACAGCCCAAAGTGGTGCCCCTTTATGGGGCCCGACGACGACGACCAGCCCACACGTGCAACCGGCAAGCGGCCGTCGGCAGGCCATGCAATGAAGACAACCAAGAAGGCCAAGGCGTAGGAAATAAGTGTTACTGTTAATAAACCTACTACTGCAATATCGTTGTGTGAGATGACGTGTCATCGTGCAATAGACTTTGGTACCTTGTGAGCTGGATGGGTCGTCGGTCTTGCGGTCGCGCGGAGGGGCGAGGAGGCGGTGGCGGCGAGCCCGCTTCGGTAAATGACTGAAATCCGAGGCCCTGATATCGAATGAAACATCCTCCCGACCAACGTTTTGAACGTTTTGCTGGGTGTGTTTAAAACATGCTCAACTTCAATGACGCGCAATGGAACGTTCTCGATACCGGTTGCAGTACCAACGTCTCTCCAAGTACGCCTAACCGTCATGATGCGGCGTCGAGTACAAGCATAGTCTAGAGTACCACGATTATTAATTGCATTTCCACTTCCACTACGTTCTCAGCTTCGTGCTGTAGAACTTGACGCGAAGCTCCAAATTGGAGTGCGATCTTGTCTGCGTCGAGACGACAATACATGTACTGTGCACAGTCTTGAAATAGACGCACAAGAAGACTCACAATCTGATCTAGGGTTCATCACGACGTCGCAGGCGACGGAGCCGCGTCGACTTGCTTGTGAATAGCATCAAACGCAACGATAACCAGCATACAAGAGGATCAAGGACGAGACCATCGGACCGCGGCGGTTGTGTCGCTTGCCATTCTCTTACAGTAAGATATACTATGAAAAAATCACGGAAGGAGCCTGTGGGCACCGATTTTCAGGGGATTGATTCTTGTAGCAGCTCTGGAGTCTCACTGCGAAGGTGGTTGCTGCTCACCAGACCCATCCGATGGTCTAGATACGGTACCTGCACTGATGCGTTTGGTGCGATTCGTGCGATTCGATGGATTGTACATTGTACTACGTAGTACCACGTGATACGCGTAAAACCACGTGAAAAAGCCAGTTCGCAGTTGCTTTCTGCGGGTGCATACAAGGTGTTTCTACATCTGTCACGACGTAACAGTAATAGATACCCACAAGAACGGTGCTCAATCAGACCACTGACAATGGTCTAGTGTCAATCGGGAGTGCATTACTGCTTATATAATAGCTAGCAACGCTAATGTTGTCTGCAAGCAGACTCACCCTGTTCCTATGCCAGAAAGCGGAAGCTTCCGTGCGATAGGTGGCACTTGTTGAGGTTCAGTGATAGATAGGGATAAATAGGGCACGGGGTCGGGAGCGCGGCGAACGGGACGCGGGGTGCCGACGGGTGCATAAATAGTTGGCGCAGAAGTGGAGAAGCGCACGCTGCAGCACGGGACTAGGCCGGGCGCAGCGACGGGCCAAGGCGAAGAAGGAGCGGGTACTTGGCGACAAGAGGCTGGTACGCAGGCTGGCCGTGGAGCATGCGCACGACGTCCAGG